ATGAATGACGAACGAAAGTGAAGAAGCGATTCTCCTCTTGATAATTGAATTTCGTTTTTTCTTGGCCTGTGGCCTTGAACAGTGGCCTTTTCGACACTTAATATAAAAAAAAAAAAAAAAAAAAAAAAAAAAAACAAATTTTTAATTTTGAATTAGTAGAATAGAGTCGCTGTTGAGGAACAAAATGATAATCAAAAGGAAAAGCGTTTGCTTTTTTACTGAGATTTATGATGAAAAAAAAAACTTTCTTAAACAACATCATGTACGCAGGAATTATAAATAAAGAAAAATAGGGCATATTGTGTGTGTCGAGTGTTATCGAAATTGACATCGGTGAAAGTGTAGGGCGGCCACCAAAATCAGGCGTGTATAAATGCCGCAATGTGTATCTTTACAAATAAATAACGTAAGGAAATTTGCATATTTTCTGTTAAATTTTTTTTTTTTTCACGATACGATCATAGACGAGGCAAGTGTTCTCTGATTGAAATTTGTAAAAAGTACCGGTGTAGCATTGTGTGTATATGTATAAAAGTAATAAAGAAATTATCATTATTATAATTATAAATAATATATATAATTATAATTATTATTATATATTACACGTATATTAATTATAATTATTATATTATTAACATAATATTATATATTTCTCAAAACTTTTTAGTGCTTAGAAAAACTTTATATTTATTGTTTATGAGAATACATGTGTATATGACTTTTTCACAACGGACTCATATGACCCATGCGATGTTGTGATTGCAATTGATGTTTTATTTTCTTTTACAGTTGCATTGCCACGTAAAGTTTATTTACGCATACGTAAACAGATGCGTGTAACGAATTTATTGACTCTTTTGGTAAACATTTATTGACGTTCTTTTTTTTTTTTTTTTGTATTGCTATTTTGATCATGTAAATTTAAATTTGATATCTTGGATGTTACAAAACTAACAATTTCGTAAGGAAAAGTATTTTTCTGGTTATATTTGAGGTGATCGATATGTGAGAACACTTGTGAGACTTTATTGTCCGAACCGAATGTAAATATAACAAAGACCACACACACACACACACACACACACACATACATTTCATTGCATTCAGTAATATAACAATTTTGTATGGCGTCGTATATTCACACCGTCACTTTATCACTATATCTCTTCGCTAAACCCGATCGTAAAAAACGCACCAGTGATTTAGCTTCCACATGTTGTCCGCACGTGTTTAAGTTTTATTGTTACTTGATTCGAATCGGTCATAATTATTCGCGCGTTCTGAGGTGTAATAATCATTGCTGATTTATATATGTGTATAGTATATTTTTGTCTCTCCGTAATGTAATGTTAATATTCTGGTCACATAATACGTCATCGTCATCATCACGTCGTTCTCATCGTAGTTTTGTAAAAGTGTGTGTGTGAGAGAGAGAGTGAGAGAGAGAGAGAGAGAGAGAGAGGCAAGCTCTGTTTGCAAGCTATGATGCGTGTGAGCACATTAACAAGCGATTCTCTTGCTGCATCAGGGAGAAACTAAGTAAAAAGATCAGGAAAAAAAACACAATTGTATAAAATTAATATTATAGAGAGATATAGAGAGTCTGTACATAATATTAATTTGCGTAGCGAAAGATATATAAATATATATATATATATATACATATAGAAAATATATGTGTGTATATATAAAGTATGAGTTTATATACACACATATATAAAACACACTACACTTATACACACACAAACATGAAATTACATATATATCGAAGATAGCTGTCAGCGCATCTCCCACAGATTATAATAAATTAGATGTAATCATTTTTAAAAATAGCAACTATATATATTATTATTATTATTATTTTTATTATCATTATCTAGAGAAACGAACGGTGAAGAGATAAATTTATTAAGTGTAAAATGGAAATTCTTTGTATATAGTAAAAACAAAAAAAAACAACAACATAGTAAATAGCAACAAATGTAAAGAAAATTTATCTCTGGAAACATTTTATTTAGGAAGAACACACATACACGCATACACATACATACATACAAAGTCTGTTATACAGAATATAGTAATAAAAAATAACGCATGTGACGTTTACACTCCGATAGAAAAACGTATATACATATATTGTATGTAAAGCCTAATTTTTCTTTCCGTGAGAAATTTTTCGTGAGGACACACACAGTTTCGACGCTCCTTTGATATTGCGACGAAAGAAAAGCGATCTTTGTATAAAAAAAACAAAATGAATGGATTCACATACAGCCAAAAAATACAGCTTAGTAATGTAATAAAGGGAAGAAGACGATGATGAAGAATTGTAAACACAAAACGCTTAATAATCTACTATTGTGTATGAAAGGGAAACAAAAAATTTTATCTTAGAAAGAAAGAACTGTAATATTAATTATTACTTGTGATACACAAAGGTAGAAAGAGGAGGAGGACGTGAAACAAAAAATTATTCCTATACGGGAATATTAGCGAGGCGAAGAAAAAAACGACGAGACTACTCTCTCAACAAGTTCATTGCTTTCGTCGCCTAAAGAAAACTCTGCGTACACAGAGCCAACTTGTACAGAAACGTAGAGAGGTTTTTTTTTTTGTAGCAAGTTTGTAATTTAGCGTTGTATACATTATATTATATGTCATACTTAGGTCCGTCTTGTGAATAGAGAAGGACTGTTACTGTGGATCACCAAAATCGTAGAAAATCCGTTTTTTGGGAAATTTCTCTCTCTCCCTTTGTCTCTCCTTTTCTCTTTCTCTCTCTCTCTCTCTCTCTTTCTCTCTCTCTCTCTCTCTGTCTCTCTTTCTCTCTCTCTCTCTCTCTCTCTTTGTACGCAGGGTCGTACGCGCCCGTGGTGCCGGAATTTCGTAGCGCCCCGCTGAGGCAAAGTGTTCTGTTATTTCGACTTGTATAAAATAGATGCGTAATAAAATACTTTGCTTGTAAATTGCACATTTAATGATAAGAAAAGAAAGCCTAGGCGCGAGGCGTCGAGACGAGAGAAAATGTAATAATCAGAAGAAAAACCTGAAATATCACAATGCCTAAGTGATTTGTATAAAATATAAATCTTGTAAAGTAAAAAAAAAACCACACATAGAGAATGTCGCGGTCGTGATATATATGCGTGGATTGTGAAAGGGTGATGGAGAGAAAAGAGCGCGCGATAGGGAAACGGCCCGGTTGTTGGGAACGGCAGCCGCGGAAGAAACAGTTTATATATCGTGTCGTTATCAGGAAGGCGCGCGTGAACAAAAAAAAAAAAAAAAAACAGATTAGATATATATTTCTTTATTCCTGATGTTCTCGCATCTCGTATTTTATATTCAATTTGTTTTAGAGTCTGCTATTTTTTTGTTTTTTTTGTTTTCTTTCGACTTTCGCTCTGTTGCTATTATTTTTCCTTTTTTCTTTTTTTTAACTTTCGTCTGTTCCGCCTTCGTATTTCTCTTCTTCCGAGTCGGACGTGTAGATGTACCCGATTTTTTGTGACCTGGTTTAATGTTAATAATTATTAAGAAGAATATTCGGTTAATTAAAAGCTATTTAATAATACGAAATGATATAGAGAGAAGAAAAAAAACAATCGGTGAATTGTATTTGAGATCAATACAATAATACGATTAAGTATATACATCTCTTTGTGTAATATAATATAATAAATAAAAAAAAAAAGACATTTACGTGTGCTATTGCGGATCCTGCTTAAAAATCCTTTTAATGATTTGCGTTGTTGCAATCTGATTGTAGTACAGTCGGTAGTGCGACTTGCGCGCGTGAAGTCGCACCGCGCGTCTCATTAGTTAAATATCGTTTCGGTGCTTCGATAATCGCGCGTCGATAGATTTCAAATTGTCGATCGTTCGCGCGCGCGCGCGTCGAATTCACGTTGCACGTGACGGCTACGAGAGGGCGCTGCGAGTGTCGGTCACTTGCGCGGTACGCGAGCTGCGCCCGCAAGCTGCGCGCTCAGTGTGTCATCGGACGTCGTGCGGCAATGTATGTAGTGATTTCGCCGCCCGTCGTCGCGAGAACGTAACGACGAAGCGGTATGCGCGATCTCGCGTGGTGATCCTCCTCAACGGGAAAAAAAAAAAAAAATTTATACATCGGCATCTCGGAGAGAAATGGGCAATTTGGCGGCGCTTCTCGTGAAATGCAGTGCGGTGTTTCTTCTCGCCTGTCTCACGGATTACAGTGCGGCTCAGGACAATACGTCAGGTAAGGGAGGAACGAGCCGCCCCCCCGGAGGACGTTTTGACGCGTGACGAAATTTCGCACGTGGAACCCCCTTTGCGGTACACGCGGGTACTCCAGATGTGTGTTTTAATTGTTTGACAATCGGGGAAAAGCATTGCGTACTATATCGCACATGGCAAGGAAAGAAACAAATTTGAAATTCACCGCACGTAACTTACCGTGCTGTGAAGTTGCTACGCGAAACAGCGCACTCCGTGCGCCTAACTAAAGGTGTAAGAGGCACTCGCGCGGTCTAACGATTTCGGAGCAACACCGTGTACCCGTTCGATGTAAAACGTGGTGTGTGTACGCGCTTTACAACACGCAACAATTATTACATCGCACGAAACAATGCGCTGAGTTGCGCACAAAAAACGTTAATGACATTTGTCAGCGACCTTTAAAATTCAACGCGAGCACGCAATTTTTAAACATTCGTCGAGCCGAAGTGACGAAATTTCGTTCGACGCGAAAATACAGGTTGGGGAAATTCGAGACGAAAACAAAAATTAGCTAATTGCATTCGATTACAATGTAAAATTTAAACTACGTTCTGTGGTGTTACGTTTTAACAAGATTATATTTTTAAAACTCCACGCGCGCGCGCACACACACACAGAGATACATTTCTTGAAGAAGATTGCACAGTAATCATTACGTGCAATGTTGCAAGGTACGCTATTTCGCAGCAAGGTATCTCGGCTGCAGTATCTAAAGGGTTAATTAAAGTCGCATGCATGGGGATTAAATCACTATACTTCATCAACAAACTTGAGCTCTGCACAGTTTGCAACTTCTATGTATATAAATGTGTGCGCGCGCGCCCGCGTGTGTGGTTTTCTCTTGCTTTTGTAAAATGTGTGACGAATCTATCCCCTTCCCCCGCGCATTAAAATTACAATATAAAATATTTGTTTGGTGTGTGTGCGTCTCTCGCGCGCGAGAGAGAACGAAGAGAAGTTTAATCGAGTTACACACACGCACACGCGCGCGCGCGCACGTGAGATACAGAATTTAGTATTTACTATCTGGTTTTTATCGCGCGGGAAAGTTCGTTTCGCGCCACGGATACTTTCCAAGCTCGAGAGGAAAAAACCCGCGATACATCGATATCTTGTAAATTGAAATCACGAGGAAAGTTAATCCTCCGTTTCTTTCGAGAACGCGCCAAACGCGTTCCTTTTCACTGTCAATTTAGTGTAATATACGCACAAGGTGATAGCTTCGTCCTTTCTCTCTCTTTCTCTCTCTCGTTCTCTCTCTCTTAAGCGTTTAAATTATTCGTGCCCGTTTAATTGCGCGTGTCTAAATTAAGGGAACGCGCGTCCCGTAATAACATGTCGAGGTCTCTCCTCGGGAGAGCGTCCGTTCGTTTATTTGTACGCCCTTGCCCGGGCTTCACGGCGTGTACGAAATGCGGTAGCCGCGGCACGTAATCATCATCTCCGTATCAGTTGGTATTCGTGCCGAGCCGCGCGTGACTCCTATTACTCCGTGGCAGATGCTTCTCGCGGTTAATCACGAAGAAATACGAAACTAATGAAAAAGTTCGCGTACATTCTTCTGCGGCGAATGTTGCGTTTCTTTTTTTTTGTTTTTTTATTATTATATACACGCGCTTGTAAAGAATCTCACGAAAACAACTCTGCCACATCGCGTGCTCGAGAAGAGAGAAGAAACGCGGCGAACTGAGAGAGACAGAGAGAGAGAGAGAGAGCTCTCGCCCACAGGTCACGAAATTGACGGGAAACAGGTCGGATGTTGCTCGGCTCACGGGACGGAGCAACATTCTCGCGGAAATATTTCGATCAAAGACCGTCCGGTCTTGTTTTCTGTATTCTGTATAAGGCGGTGGCGTCCTGGCGCGTGACGGACTTACGAGCGTCCCTTCCTGAAGGCGAGCACGAAGCGCGCGCGGCTGTAACGCGCGCTGCTGGCCGGCATGGTCGTCTCGACCGCTAATTGTTGCACAACGCAACTCCCGCGAGTTCACAGGTGCATCGCACCAGAAATCCTCTCCCGATATATACGTGTTTCTCGCTTCTCCCGTGGCGTAATTAAAACACCGAGATTGTCGCGCGTTTTTCGTTGCGACTATAATCCCGTCGTAAACTCGATTTCGACGCTCAATTGCAAATAAGTTTCGCACAGACGTCCTTTTTTTTTTAATTCCCTTCGATCGTGAGCGAGCAAACACGCGCGCGTGAGTTTTCTCCGCCACTTGGGGAAAAGTTTTCTCGCGTACGCTACTGGCGACTGTATCTCGAGGCTCTGCGATTAGGTCGCTGTGTCTGTCTCATTTGTGGAAGTGAAAGGACGAGAACGGTTTTAGCGTTTGCCCGACCGTGTTCGCCCGATGCTGCGAGCAACCGCGACTCGAAGAACGTCGCTCCGATCACAACGTGGCTCTCTCTGACCACCAACGTTTTAGGGATCGTACCTGAACTCGACCTATGTTCGGAATTTGCACATTCGATCCTTTCCGGTGCTTTGTTCGATTATATGAACTCAGCCCTTGGCCTTCGGCTAAAAGAATTTTTTTTTGCATTTCAAAAACGGTTTCAGCTTCTTCTCTTTTACAATTTCGGTGACACTCGAACGAGATTTATTCAATTCTCTGTTAAATTCCGTTCTTTTTTTTTTGTAATCTCTTCGGTTACAAAACGTAGGGTACGTAAATTCCTTTGCTCGGAATTTTCACTTTCGTCTTTCTTTCCGCGAGATGCTAACGAATGTTCCGTCTAATAAACACACGCCTCGCGAAGTATAAACTTCCTCGAGGATTGGACCGGCCGGAGCGATAACGGTGCTTCGTAAAAGTCACGGTGCGAGCCGTAAAATGCTCGGGCACTTCGTGCCCAACTAGTGAAAGTTTGATGAGCAATTGTTGTATCCGCTAAAAAGACAAACGTTCTTCGTCTCGGCTAAAAAGAACGGACAACATCCGCATAAACGTCGAACTACCGTAAAACAATTTGTGTGTATGTGTGTTTTTCAATCTTTTAATTTATGCTCGCGTTTGCCGACCGCGATTTAATAATAAAAAATCGGACAGGTGGAACACGAGTCTTTGCGATTGTTACGGGAGCAACGGCATTCTATTGAGACGCGGCGAGTAGCAGGTGGAAGTTCTTTAACTTACGCTCGTTCGAAACAATTTCATGAGACAGACTTGAAATTTAAAAAAAAAAAAAAGAAAAAAAAAACAGTCGGACAGATGGAACTCGAATCTTATCGTTCGCGATTGTTGAAAGAAGGAGCGACGCGTCGTCTTGCGAGTGAACCGTGTCGATCGTAAATGGCAAGGATAGATCGTCTGTAACGAGCCTTAATCGTGCGACGGTTCGCCGCGGAATACGCTCTTTTCCAGGCTTCCGGTACATTGTTACGATACACCGTTTCCGCGCGAACGCAATTTCGCAATCCTCGACCTCTTCCTTCCTCCGTGGCGCGTAATGCGGGGCGCGGATGTGCTTTTCTTGCATATCGCACATTAGTCATGTACCGGTCATGTACTGGTCGCGAAATTGTTTCCTCTCTCTCTCTCTCTCTCTCTCTTTCTTTCGTTTCTCTCGAGTCAAACGGGGCGTCGTGTCCGGGATCCGCGTGCGACACGCGTCACCAACGTGTGTGACGTGCTCCCGTGCGAGTGATGATGAACGGCAGCATCCTGTGAGCGACGTGCTCGCTCAATGCGAACGACGATGACGCCCGGTTTATGGACCATTATCGCGCAGATGAGAAGATTGCCCGGAGTTTTCGTAATTAGCGCGAATACATATCGCGCGCGATATACATACATACGTATACGAGTCGGTAGCTCTCTTACAAGAACCCCGGGTTACGTATTGTTTCGCATGCGTACGACCGAGAACGAGTTGCGCGAGGTTTTCCCCTTGACGGTTCGCGCGCGTATTAAACACTTTCGCGACCCGTGCAACGGAGCTCGCGAGGAGGAGATCCGCTCGCTCCCATCCTTGAGCGAGAAAAGGAACTTGGCGAATTTCACGGCTACACGCGATGATTTCCACATTCCGCATCGTCCCCTCTGAGAATCCTCTCTTCTGGATTCGGCGCGATGTAACAACGCGCTTCCCAATCACGTAATTTCGCGTCGAGTGTGAGAAAAGTTTCTCCCAACTGACGAGGTTTCTCTTTACATTTTTTTTGTCGACAGATTTTTTTTTTTTTTCCAATATAAACGTTCTCGAAGTAAATCTTCTTATAAGTTCCTCAATGAACATTTGCATAATTCATACTCGACGCGAAACACAAAGGAATTCTCAATTTCTTGCTCCAGTGACGACGCGATATGGCGCGCGCGGTGCACAAATGATTTTCGCGAAACCCATCGAGCGTTTCGTGTCGCATTCAAATCGTGTTGCGCGGAGAAATGACGTTTTGTTTTTGAGAACGTTGATATTTGTTGATACATACTTGTTATCGCGCTCGTCATACGTGTATCAACGGAAGGGACCACCTGTTGAGTTATCAAACGCATTATCTGGCTTTGAACTTCCGCCAACTGATAGACAACCTCGAGATTAAGTGCGTCGAGGGATATATGCGCGAGAATAAGTTTACGAGCGCTCCGCGCGCAGAGCCTGTTTCAAAACTTTTCATTTAGCAAATTGCGAGAGAAGGGCGATTGACAAGTATCCGAAAAACGGAAAGATAAACAACAGTTTATTGGGTTCAATTGTGTTTGTTTTTCAGATGCGCTTTGACCAGCGACCTTCTCGAGAGTGCACTCGTACCACTTCGATGGGACGATTTCTCGAGCTCTTCTAGAATAATCATTGACGACAGGAATGACCTTTTTTACTCGAAAATGTCGACATTGCTGTCGCCATCCGTCGTTTTTCGGGTACTTGTCAATCGCCGGCTGTGTCAAGACCGACAGGCAGATTAATTTGCAACGTGATAATTATCACATGCGACTTAATGAGCTTTCTCTCAAACGTGCGCTCTACTTGTTTTGA